AGCTCCTGAAATTCAACCATTACAAAAGCATTTTAAAAAGATGAAACTGGATACCAGAATAGTTTAGGTCTCAGTGTGTACTTGTGTTTAAGCTATAGTTTCTTAGTTGCAAATTCACCCGTCTGTACTTCACTTTGTAATACTGGTGCTGAACTGCATAGTTTTCATTTCTCCTTTTAGGATGCTTCCTACTCAGTTCTGAGAAAAGGAGGCCCTATAAGGAGATAAAAAGACAGGAGGAAAAGGGAAAAAGCGACTTCTTCAATCGTCTTTTTGCTGTTTCCGTATAAGGACTGTCTGGGCAATGGTCCTTCAGCCTGGCAACAGTAATTGGTTCAGATTCTAGGTTCTTACTGTATTTCCAGGATTAGCCTCATCATGCCCCAGATATGGCCTCATTCTTAAAGTTCTAGATCCCGGTTCCTTAAGGATCTTCCCACAAGAAGATAACCCCAGCCCTTCTCCTTCCTCTCCTAGCCTTAAGACTGGTAGTTGTTTTTCTGTCTGGACTGCACTTGATACCAGGAGATTCTAGGATATATTTGGTTGTGTCTGTAGCTTTTAATGAAATCCTGATCTCCTTGTCAATGGGAAGCGAGATACTAGTAATTCATGACATGAAGTCACATCAGAGTTAATTACAATTATTCCTTCCAGTTGATTGTAATAAAGTTCCCTGAGAAACAAGTGTCTTCTACACTTAATTATTATAGCAGGTATGATGACTACAAGAACTGTGGGTGGGATGACCTCTTTTAACTGGAGAATCTACAGACAGAAAAGTGTCAGTTCAGCACTTTTAATTTTCAGTTCAAATAATAGAGAACAAAATAGCTTTCATGACAGTCACAACAATTTCTTACTTTTGTAGCTGCAGGGCTGTCTTCTCTTAAAAACAAGATGCATATTTTATTTGCGCCTATTGTCAGAATTGTGATATTTTAGAAATATTATACTTGCCACATCACTTAGGAGGAAATTAGGACATTAATTGGGAAGGAAAGTGAAGCTGAAACTTGTACAGTGACATCCGAGTGGAATCGGATAATGCTCACCCCAAAGCTTTCTAAGATTTTCTTGCTAGTGAAAGGAATCCATCTTCCTGGGTGTAACAAGACTATCCTACTCTTGGATTGAGGCCCTTCAGAATCTCTGGCAGGTAAAGAGCTCCAATGCAACCAGCTAAGATGCTGTCTGATAGAAAAGGGTATTAGAAGAAGGAATTTATAAATTATCAACTACAGTCATGTAATTAATTACAGAAATGAGGACTGTAGCAACTATGCATATTATTTTTTGCTGGTTATCGTTTTCATAGATATAGACACAGGTACACATATGCATAAATACCATATAGACATTTAGATATACTGGTATATATATATTAAATAGGCTTATTTTTTATCTTCCTTCTCCCATCCCCTTACTATTTTATGGGGCCAGCACACTTCTGCTGCACCACTCTGCTGGGCAGCCCTTACTATTTTAAATAAAGTGTTTTTTGTCATCATGGATACCTTTATAATGAAGTCTTTTATTAATTATAAAAACAGGATATTCAGGTGGAACTGTGATCATAAAAGAGTAAATATCATTGCTCAGAAATAGGTACTGTGATGGTTGCTTAGAGATGGATACAATAATTGGTAGGATTTTATGTATCTCCATTTTGGACAAACGAGAACGTTTTTGTTTGTATGGAGGATAGTTGCATCATATTATTATGAAACTGTAAATATGTACAGAAGTGTGTATTTGGCACTGAATAACCAAAGGACTGTTAATGCTAGTTTGTACGCAATTATCTGTCAGCGTGGTATCTAATCTTCTACATTCTATTTTGTGATGCTTGGATTCGAACACGGCAATTTTCATTTCTTCTCTGCGCCAAGGATTTCTGTTAGGTTCCACTGATGACACTGGAGAGAGACAGGAAGACCGGAGGAAAGGACAAGGAATGTTGTCTCTTTTGTTGACTTGCTTTGCCTTTCAGTGTTACCTTTCACCTTGAGACAGTAGTTGTCTCCAGTCTCCAGTTTTTTGTGATCCTAGAACCAGTCTCATTGTGTCCACCCAGAGTCATCAGTTTCAGCCAAGCCACAGCACCGCCTCAGGAATGGATCCCAGGCGTGTAAGTGTTCTCCTTCTGGCTTCTGAGAGTCTAACAGCGGTGGGCAAACCACAGAGGTCTGAGACTCAGCTCCCAGGAGGCCCTCCCTCGATCATCTGAGCATCTGAGCTACCAGTATCAGCCAGGGGCCACCCTGTCCTTAGAGGTCTGATTCCCATCTCTGGCGGTTCCTTCTCTGAGATACCGAGTTACTATCACATTCACGTGGTGCCCCCTCCTCGGATGACAGAGTGACTGAGTCCTTCTCTATAAGATCTCTTGCCCAAGCTTCCAGCTTGTTAACCTAATTCTCTTTTCTTGGGCGTCTGTTTCCAACAATTACCATCTCTTTGTTGCTTATGTGACGGTTCCTTCTATATTAAATTCTCATATTGAAATATCTAGTCTGGTTTCTATTTTACAGGGTCATCATTTGGTTTCTAATAGTTGTGGGGACTGGAGTAAGTCATGTTCCCCTTCAGACTCAATTCCCTATCTGTTTGATTTGGGGGGCAAGTAAGAGAGGGGTTAGTATAGATAGTATCTAAAGTGATATTTTCCAAATTGTTTCCTAGGGAATGCCACCTACTCCCAAGTTTCCTCCAGGCAAAATGATACTGATAGTTTTACGGACTTGGGAAAGGTTACAATACTGTAACAAACTATCAGACGCTTATTGTGCACATGAGCAAATAAAGACTGAGAAGTCCAGCAAAAAAGAAACCTGTTTCACTTTGACTCAATATCATTCCCCAAATTATTTGGCTAGGAAAACTGTTTTATTTTCAGATAACCTCTATCACTATGCCATGACATACATTGAGAAATGGCATTCTCTAGAATACTGAGAAATTCAAATGTTTTGTAATGTTATGAACTTTTTCTTCAAAATCCCCTTATTAGTGAAGAATCTAATGCCTACAATTCTTTCCTTGGTTTAATTTATCTGTTTCAGCTCTAAGCATAAATACGGAGAGTGTTATTCTATGCAATGAGATGTAGAATGCATACTGAGGAGGGGCATGGAAAATGTAAGAACCCAAGGAAAACTATTACAAAAAATGAAATACAAGGTGAGAGAATACCAGAGGGGATGAAAGCATAGAGTCACATTGCATTAGGATGAGGACATGTATGCTTATGGTTCAGTGAACAAGCTATGGATTCAGACTGCTGGGTATGATTCTCAGCTATAGCACTTGAGTGCTACTTGATTTTTAACAAAATTAGTCATCTTCTTTGAGCCTTGGTTTTCTCATCTTTAAACAGAGATAATAGCAGCATATACTTTACAGGTTTGTGGGGAAGATCAAATGTGACATAGTCTGTAAGATGATTGACAACTACCTGATAGTTATTAATAATTATTTAGGGTATACCTGTGTAATTACACTGATTCCATTTAGATAGAAAGGAACAGTTATGAAACAAACGTAAGTTGTTCAAAATGGAAGAGTCTTTAGAGGGTGTCTAATTCAGCTCTCTCATTCTATAGATGAAGATAGAGTTGAGACTTCCAAACACTATATTTGGTTAAGGAGCTAAACAACAGGGAAGTTGGATAGAGACCTCAGTCTCTCCACCCTTAGTAAACTGCTATTTCAATTAAACTCAAAAATTGTTTAGCTGTAGCAGTTTTTGTATTTTTCTGGATAAAGGCAAGAGTAGTAGGACCAAAATATTGTTTTCTGGGTTCAGGGCTCAAAGTGATCTCCATGATGTTTAAGGCCCAGGGGCATCTCATGAGAGGTTTGTCTAAACCACACTGTGTGCTTTGTCCTCTTCCTAGTTCCTGTTTCCTTGTAACAATCTTGTGTGAGAGAGACAACGTGAGAGTAAGCATCAGGAAAAATTGGAATAGTGGAAAGGGAGACGATCATCTCATTCAGTTTTCATTGTTGAGTGAGCAGGAAAGAGAGGAACAATTGACTATTTGAATATGTTATAAAATCAAATCTTTGTTCAGAGCTGGGTGACTGAGCCTGGTCGGTCCATTCCGTCCACCTCGCAGAATCACCAGAGGCACTAACATTGAGAGAGAGGTGACCGCGTCACTTCGCCATACCTAAACAAACTCTTCCCCTCAGCTTCATGAAATAGATCCAGAGAACCATGTTTAGAGCTGTTTTATTTAGCATTATACTTAGAACAGTGGAAAACACGAGAGATAACCATAGTCATGGTATACAAGGCTTCCGTATGATCACTAATTTTTTCTACAACTTCACGGAATTACGGTAAACATATTATCTTTAAAGGGTAATTTAAAGTGATGAAACAACATTATATTTTAGTCCAACCCAACCTATGTACATACGCATATATAATTTATGAGATATATATAATTTATATGTATACAAACAGCACATTTTACTGAGGTAAAAAAGCACAGCGAGGTTAAAAACAAATGGCTAAGCTCAATGTCGTCTTTACAGCGCCACCGAAAGTCACTTTACTAGCATAAAGGCCTCCAACATGCTGTATTAACATACTGATAAATATTTAGACTGTGTTTATATTTTGCTCTATTGGAAACTAAGCCAAAATAAACATATGTTAAGGCAACCTTTGGAAGTGTCAGCATTTCTTATTTGATCTGCCTTGTGATAAATGTTATTCACAGTGACAATTAGAAATATTGAACAATGAAGGACAAAGGTTGTTGACAAATTCATCTTGAACCCATCTTATCCTCATAAAAACTTTCTCTAATTATAGAAAAGTCATATTTTTCAGCAACCTTCAACTCTCAGTTTCGAGGGGTAACATTATTGCTTTTTGGCCCATACATGCTTACTCAAAGCTATGTGTTACAAATTTCCAATTTTGATTTCACATTCTGAGAAGTATCTACACAAGTCTCAATGCTATTTAAAAAAAAAATACAGAAAATAAGAACCTATAGATTACAGGTTGTCCTGGCTGCAAGCTAGTCAACACTGCTACTCACTTCCATTGTGTCTTTGGAAAGATAAACTACCCAGTATACAAGGTTGAATCCTGCAAATGCAACTGGGAAGAGAATTCGAGAATACTGATCTATTTTACTGGTGCCTCCAAAGGCTGGCGAGAGTGGTGGTGGCGTGGCAGGCGTTGGTTGCAAGACGGGCGCTCTAGTGAGGACTTTATTGGCCTCAGGGGATGGAACTATTGGCAAGGTCAGAGAAGTGATTCTTTTCTTCAGATGATATCTGGAATCAGGATGCTGTGGAAAAAAGGCAAATGCTCAGCCTAGGTAAGAGAATAGAGATCACTTATTTAGTCATTCATTTTTTTCACCATTGACAAACATTTATTGACTATTTACTTACTATTAATATTTAAGGTAAAACATCCAAAAATTCTTTTTTTTTTTTTTTTTTTTTGAGACAGTGTCTCACTCTTTTGCCCGGACTAGAGTGAGTGCCGTGG